AGGAATTTCAGACATGCCTGTCACTGATGGATCATCTCATGTCCTTGGAAGAAGCTCATTGCCTGTACATGCAGCTCCTAAAGCAGAAGGACAATATTCTGAGCAACAATCTTCTCAGGTATGTGTGACCAGATTCATAGATGAGAAGTGAAGGTGGATAATTTTCTTATGAAATTATTTTACGATTCATTGTTAAAGTTTGAATTTGGATGCAAAAATTACTGTATGGTCACTTGTCATCTCTTTTGAGATTCTATATTTTATTGCTGAAAAAGCTAGTCTAGAAGTATGTCAAGAATATACTTCAGAGTACAGTCTGTTTCTTAAATTAAGTCCGAAATTTACATAAGGTTATGCTTATGGCTAGATATACTTAATTGGATACCCTTTTTAGATGAATTAAGGTGATAGACTGATTTTACTTTTGAAATAAATATTTACATCTGTTAAAGGTGATTACTGTTGCTGATATTTAATGAGTTAGGTATTTGTTTTGATTCTTTTAACCACAATGGATCCTATCTTGTTTGATCAACGTAACCAGTCATTCTGGGTTTATAAATCATTATTCTTATTTAATTTGCTTATCCCAGCTCACACCTGATGTGGAATCTGTTCTGCTCCAACAAGTATTGAATCTGACACCAGAGCAATTGAGTTCCTTGCCACCAGAGCAGCAACAGCAGGTCATTCAGCTCCAGCAGGCTCTTCGGCGAGATCAGATGCAGCCCTCATAAACAGGAGTTCATGAACAGTTCAAATAGCATCAACCTATTGTATACTAGCATTTGCTGTAGATTAGGTTCAGAATATCAAAATTCTTTGGACCACTATTGTTTTTCTTTGTAATTTGTTTTCTTATTCCTTGGCCAAATATTTAATGTAGCATTGAGGAACTCCGGATGGGCACGCGTATAAATCCTTTAGAAGAGAAATATTGTACAATAATAATTTTGGCGATAAATTCTTTTGCCGTTGACATCTTTAGCGTGGACTGAATATCTTTGCCTTGTCATTTGAGCTATTATTATTAATAGCATGCAAATGCTTGAATATATTGCCCTTGTACTTAGTTGCGTTTTATCGTTGATACTTGATACCACTTGACTCAGACAAAAATACGGCTGAACTCAATATCCAGTGTACTGATATTCGTTCCTTTCGTTTTCCTTTGTTTCATTTTCTATAATTCTCTTTAACCGTCTTCATAATCCAATCCTTATAGCAAAGGAACGTATTAAACTAGTCACCGTACACAAGTGCGTTGTTGCTATCTGCATACGTGTACACTATTCACATATTTGTAGCAATATGATGGTTGGTTTATCATTGAAAACTTGAAAGAAGTGCATTCCACTTTTGCGATCAGAAGAAAGAACAACTTCCACGTGACATTGAAATGTGTTTGATTTAACTTTCTATAAGATTATTACATAGTGAAATTCGGTCTTTCTACTCATGAGTATCAAGATGCGTTGATTTTAAGATCCTTGACAGCCCCTATCAAGTTTCTGTCTCTTTCTCCCACACGGATGTGGGTGTAGGAGTTTGAGGAGTGAAAAAACTGTTTTGCCTTTATGCAATATATGGATGTTGTTTTGTATACATGTCAACCAACAAGATGTGATAGAAAATACGTCATTCACATATTCCAAATGTGTAAGCTAGTTGACTTGTTGGGAAAGGAGAACTAGTAATCCCTGTGGACCTACTAATATTTCGTTTAGAAAACTGATGAATCCAAACCAGACCACAGGAGTAACGTCCACACCAGCAAGTGGAGGAATCACCTTGCGGGTTGGACTGAGAAGCGGCTCAGTGGGAGCATATGCTATTACATATGGAAATTTTCCCACCGGGAGTTTTGGGTACCAAGACATGACTATTCTCAAGATAAAGAGAAAGCCAAACACTGAAAGGAAGGGACCTAGAAACCCAATGGCCAACTTTGCAGTTGCAGGGTCAAGATCAGCAAGAGACAATCTTGTCACGAAATCTGTGGAAGCATGTGATGTTTCTGGTATGCTGAACTTGAGAGTATTCAAGACTAGATTTGAATTAAGAGATTTCTGCGTGGTAGCTGCATCCAATATTGAGGATATTGTTACACCTGCAGAAGCTTCAACTTCAGCGTAACATGAGCAACATGGCATGACTGGAGAATTTCCATAGCTATTTCTTTTAGTGAGATACTTCGAACTTTTCTGCAACAATTAAAATCTCAAATTAGGCTGAGATAACATGATATTAATATAATGTGTTTCAAAGGTTCTAAATCGTTTAAAATTATTGAAGGATATTTATTTATTTATATACATGACTCACTACAAGGAACAAATTAAAAAGAAAAATACAAAAAATGAAACTTATGCACATCCAATAGAAACAATATCGATATAATAACTGTGTAGCAGCATTAATCAATATATCACGATTTAAAGTAGGCATGAAACCAGTTTAAGATGAGTTCATCAGTACAAGATGATGAAGGAATTGTGAAAAATACAGCAAAAAATAGAAACCAAAATTATTAGCTATAAAATGAGCTCTCTCAATTCGGCAAAGCCAGGAAAACAGACTTGTCCTACAAAGGGAAAGGAATCATTGAAATCTTGAGACATTCAACTCTAGGTAGTAGCCATATAAACCACCATAAGCTGCAATTAGGAGTGACATTTGTTCCACTTAATCCTAAATACCTGAAACATCTATTCAATAAGCTACTACAATTGGGAATTTGAATGAAATTCCCATTTTCTTTTCTTGATAGTAATAATATGTCCTGTACCAATCCAAGTTGGGATTATTAAATAATTATGACCAGATTTTGGAGATACTCTTGTATTTGTAGAGCATCAAACAAAGGCATAATGTATGCTTCAATTTTGTTCTTTTGAACTTTAAAAATCAAATTCCTGACTTTGCTGGGAATTTTATCAAATAAAGCGTGCACACTTTCAAGGAATAACAAGATGACATAGCACAAATTCAATGCTTCTTTCCAAACTCTTTAAAACATATCAATAATAAGTGAAGGAACCCTGGCTCCATGACGTTTTGCTGCTAACCAATCAGCACCTCAATATATTAATTTACTTATGCAGGAATACACATAACAAATCTATCAATAATTGAAATGCCAATAATCTATCACATGGTTTCTCTTCTCGTTCTCACCTATTTCAAGTCAAACATACAATATAGATTTACACCTCAATTTCACCCAATTTTCATATCATTTAAAACCATCATCACATTTGTCACCAGGATCCTTAAACTCGGTACTAATATAATGAATGAATTCTGAGGAGTATAATATTTCAGCCATTTGAACTATGTCTGTGCTAAAAAATGCTACATGGCTATGACCTGGAAACACTATCTATTGGATATCTATAACAAACATTATGTTTCTATTATTTTTCTTGCCCTTCCTAATTAAATCAATTTGTGTTGTCCCGTATTGCATCCCAAATCCATCTTAAAGGAGCTTTTGCTAACCCACAAGCCTGTAGCACAATCAGACTGGCCCAGTCTCTAAGATTAGGAAGTGATGATGATGCCGCAGATTTTATCCTCCACTAACCCACCTATCCCTCTCCTTATCTCTGGTGCTTGCACTTCAATGTACCAGCAAAAAAAAGGGCTTTTGCTCATTCTAGCCATCCACTGAAACTAAACATTGTTTTATATATTTGGTCACTATGCAAAAATAAAGAAAAAAAAACAATTAAATGGTTAAACAGATTTTTGCTAACCATATAAACAATATTGGTGCACAGTTAATTCAAGATTTCAAAGTAATATAGAAGGGAATTTTCAATTTAATTATATTGACCTCAAATAGCAGCTGAAAACTGAATCCTAAATACATCAAAAGAGATTTTGAGCACTCCGGCCACTTGTAGTGTGTTGGATTGACTTCATGGTGAGAAATAAAAAAATTGTTTTTGTATGGTGAAGGCAAAGCAATAAATAGTTGGTTATACTTTTTCATGGTGTCACCATGATTTTGGGGAGTAGAATATATTCTTGAGTGTTATCCAAACACACTATTGATCATCAATATAACACATTTTTATTCAAGAGTCATGTTTTCAGACATCATATCATAGGATTAGGAGATGAAACTAGAATAAGAAATAAAGAAAAATTGAAATGGGTATGCCAAACGTAGCAAATGGAAGCACTCCCATGAGAAATTTCTAATGAGAACTTACCGAGGCGCCAAAGCCAAAATTGGTTGGTTTGCATTGCCGTCCTACAAAAATGGAAATTTGAAACAACAAAAAGTGTGAAGCGGGCTTCGATAGAACGGTAAGCATAAGAAAGTTGAACACTAACCTCTGATTCCCGCATGAACACGAAAAGTGTTCAGATTCAGAAGATAAGATTGCGTTGCCATTGTGCCTCGCCAGAACGTACTATTAACTGTAAATCTATCTACAAATTTATAATTCTCAGTTTTTTAAGCCACGTGTTCACCTCATGCTTTATTTTTACTCTACTTAAAAAAAAAAACTAGAAATAGGAATGTCTATCTTATATTCTAAATAAAAAGTGGAATTAAACAATTTTATGGAAAATAATTGATAAAATCAAGAAAATTGGATGCTTAAAATATATAATTCTAACAATTAACTATACTATGCTTGAACGTGTCAACTCTGTGAGGCCAGTCTTGTATTTATAATCAACGACCTGGATTGGCTTCAACAAAAAATTAAAGAAATAAAAAATTAACTTTATTCAAATTTTTATACACATTTATCAACGATTAAAATTATTTAATTACACTTATTTAGTTGGGTAGGATGGTTTTTCACTCGCCCAATATTATCAATTTAAGTCCAATTTTCACTTTCTTAACTAAACCTTTCATCCACCCAAATTTTTTTTAGATCATTTTAAGTACTTTGCACAGTCTGTTGAGAGTACAGTGTGTTGTTAGAGCATCTTCAACCAATGCTTTCATTAAAGTTTATTTTTTATTTTTTTAAATAATATTTTACATTTTTCTATAATACCAATTTATAGTCATTATTTTAAGTAACTCAATAATTTTTGGCAAAATCTACGGTAGACCAATAGATCATATAATGCATGGATGGACCAAAAGAAAAGAAGATAATTTTCATGTGATTTATTGAGAGAGAAGTAAAAAATATCATTAAATATATAAATAATTAAATTAAATGGTTCGGATTTATTTGAAAATAAAAATTTTATTAATGTAGATTTTTTTTATTGATAAATGATCATTTTGTCTAAACAAAAAAATTTGAACTCTACTCAACTATCCCAACCCTCCCTTTCACTTCTCCCCCGCCATTGCTATCACCCTTTCCACTCTTTTCAACTTCGATTTTGACAACCGGATGGATATTCCTTATCATTGTTGCTAGCACTCTCACTTGTGTTTCTTTTTGTTCATAATTCTTTCCTTTCCAATCCATTCATGTTCGGGGAACCCCAAAAATCAGTTTTGGTAGAAGAAATGAAGGTAGTGGCTGATCCTTTTCCCCACCAACTACCCAAGTTGAACCCAAACTCATAAGAAAATTCAACAACCACCACCAAAGTTGAAGCTAAACCAAAAAAGAAACCAACAAGCATCAAAGAAGCAACGAAGGCCCATGAAGAGAAGATTTTCAAATTGACTAAAACTTCTCAAATGGACCTAAAATATATCTATTTTTATATTTTATTATTCATGTTAATTTTAAGTTAATATATTTAAATAGCACTTGCTAAATAATAAATAATTATATAGTAGATTTTAATTAAAAAAATTAACATTGCAAAATTAAAATACATAAAGAAACACAAATAAACTATCACTAAAATACATAAAATAGAGTTCAACTTTTGTTATTTTCACATCTAAAACATTTCTAAATATGCTCCACCAAGTCTATATGAAGGTGATAGTGTATTTTCTTTTGATGCATGTGTGCTTTTCTTTCTAAATATCTTCTTAAAGCTTTATGATGTCCATTAAAAGTTCAATGTTGAGATATCATTACTCGGATCATCATATGAACAATCAAAATTGACATGGTACTCTTCTTGTTCATCTTTCACCATCATACTATGCAATATTATGCATGCATCCATTATCCGCTTCAATGTATCCATGCTCCAAAATTGATTCGGCCCACGTATAATTGCAAAATGTGATTGAAACACTTCAAAAGCTCTTTCAACGTCCTTTTTGGTTGCTTCTTAACGTTGGACACACATTTTTCTATTTTCTCCTAGTGGCTTTGGGATGATTTTACAAATATAACCCATTTTGGATAAATATTGTATGCTAAATAATACCCCATGTTGTATGTAGTTCCATTTATTGTTAGTTATACCTTAAGAGCTCTCTCTTTGCAAAACTTCATTAAAGACATCAACTTGGTTAAGGACATTGATGTCATTATTAGAACCAACAACACCAAAGTATGCATGTCAAATCCACAAGTTATGTGACGCCATTGCTTCTAACATAATAGTTAGTTTGCCATGATCTCCTCTTTGATATTGACCTTTCCACGTTGTAAGACATTTTCCATTCCTAGTGCAAACAATCAATGCTACCTAACATATTAGGATAGTCACATGCATCTCCAATTTTCAATAGATGTTTAATCTCATAGTTGTTAGGCCTGTCATGTACTGGATCCTAAATACCACATTCACTCCTTGGACAGACTTTTGTAAGCATTTCATTGCAGCGATTTCACCAATGTGCATATACTCATCCACTTTATTTGTTGGTGATCCATAAACCAACATTCGAATTGCAATAGTGCATTTTTGCAATGGTGAAAGACTTGTTCTTCCAGTTGCATCATTTCATAATTGGAAATATTCATCATTGTTGCTAACTCCTTTAATAATGCATAGGAATATATGTCTTCGCATTTGAATCCTCCACCGAAATTGATTATCGCTATATTCTAGATTTGTAGAGAAGTAATCATTAAATAAGCAAAAATGACCTTTTTTCACAATTTCTTGGAATGAGTTCTTTTACGAGCACGTTGGTTGGAGTTACTACTTTCTTCTTTCACATGTTGATCAATTAATTTTTTAATGCACTTATGTTATGTTTGAATGACAGTTAACTCATTTAATAAATTTTCATTCAAGCTCATTATCAAAATGTGAATCGTAAGGATCCATTAGATAAGACAAGGCAAGAAATCTAACACAAATATTCTCATTGACTGCAACATTATCCAAGTTGATTTGTGAAGAAAAAGAAGGAATCAAAGACTTTGATACAAATTTAACTAGTGTTTGCACTTGTTGTTTAGAGCAATTCCCACCATTAGTCATTGTCGAAACAACACCAAACATAGTCATTGTTGAAACAACACTAAACATGACAAAAGTAGCTGTTGGGATTGAAAAATTCATTCCACTTTGCCACGACATTATATAAGAACTATCCAAATATGACATATTTGGTTGAAAGAAATTTGGGTATGAATATAAGGAAAAGTTTCCCATGTTTGGATTATTTGGAGAATTTGAAAATTAAGAAGAATTTTGAACATTCAAGTTGCCAATTTAGTATCTAATTAAAAAAAAAGAATTAGAATTATATTGGTTGGCATCTCCTATTTATGTATACAAAGAAAAGTTACAATTAAAAAAATTAAAATAATAAATAGATATAACTGAAAGATGAATATATGAGAAAATAATATCAAAATTTTACAATTTATACAAATCATAAAAAAACATAAAAAATTAAATCTTAAATACTTTGATTAAGAAACAAAAATCACTATTATTATTTATTCATGTCGACCACTATTGATATCAAAATAAATCTAAGCACATACCGATGTTAAAGAAATAAAAAAAAATGATTTAGTATGATACATTTGGATATTATTTTATTATTATTATTATTAAACCACCTGCATAATGTAGGCAAGTACTTTATCTATTTAAAAATGTGACCACTCTCTTGCATAATTGATTCCCCTGACCTGACGTTGACCCAAAATGGCGGAAGGTCTGATCCAAATCGGAGTGGTGGGCTGCGCCGACATCGCCCGGAAGGTCTCCCGCGCCATCAGCCTGGCCCCCAACGCCGCACTCTGCGGCGTCGCCAGCCGGTCCTTGGAAAAAGCCTCCGCATTCGCCGCCGCCAACAACTTGCCTCTCTCGGCCAAAGTGTACGGCTCCTACGAGGCCCTTCTGGAGGACCCTGACGTGGACGCCGTTTACATGCCACTCCCCACCACTCTCCATCTCCACTGGGCCCTCCTGGCGGCCCAAAACAAGAAGCACTTACTCCTGGAGAAGCCCGTCGCACTCCACGTCGCCCAGTTCGACCGCATTCTTGAGGCCTGCCAATCCAATGGGTTGCAGTTCATGGATAACACCATGTGGGTCCATAACCCCAGGACCGCTGCCATGGCCCAATTCCTCAACGATGCGCACCGTTTTGGTAATCTCAAATCGGTATTCACATTCACACCCCCATTCATTCGCTCATTATAAGTTGCTTACATGTAGAATTCAATTTATGATATTAGAAGCTTTTGGAGATCTGGTTTAGAGAATCGATTGTGATATTGTTGTGGGTTGTACAGGTTCGCACATGCTTTACATTTGCAGCAGATCCTGCTTACCTGAAGAACGACATTCGTGTGAAGGCAGATCTTGATGCCCTTGGTTCTCTAGGTGATCAAGGGTGGTATTGCATAAGGGCAATTTTGTTGGCTGCCAACTATGAATTGCCCAAAACAGTGCTTGCTTCTTATGAACCTGTGCTTAACAAAGATGGGGTCATATTGGATTGTGGGGCTTCTCTCTACTGGCAAGATGGGAGAGTAGCAACCTTCCATTGCTCCTTCTTGGCAAACTTAACAATGGACATAACAGCTATTGGGACTAGAGGAACTCTTCATGTGCATGACTTTGTTATCCCTTATCATGAGAAGGAGGCATCTTTTTTGGCTGGTACACAAACCAGCTTTGATGATCTTGTCACAGGCTGGGCTAAACAGCCGGAAAAGCATACAGTCCACACTGATCTCCCTCAGGAGGCTCTTTTGGTCAGAGAATTTGCTCGCTTGGTGGGGGAAATTAAGTTCAAAAACTCTAAGCCTGATAACAAGTGGCCAACAATTAGTAGGAAAACACAACTGGTATTGGATGCTGTCAAGGCTTCAATTCAGAGGGGGTTTCAGCCTGTTCAGATTCACCACTAAACGAGTCTCCACTGTGAGCTCCTTTTTCTGTTGTGCATTCCAAATAAAAATCCGTTCTTCATTGGATTATGTATTTCTGAACTCTTCATTTCTGCCACATGCAGCTTATTATTCTGTAAAATACAACCATTCTAATTGATAAATTTTATGTCTTTCAAGTGTCTTAATTAGTGTGATGACAGGAATAACTAATACCTTTGTCTTGGTCTTCATCTTCATCATATAACTTGTTAGTTGACTAAACATGTCAAAGTGGCTTCTAATATAGAATCTTGACTTTTTTGACTTCACAGTTGACATTAAGTAAAACATGTTGACTACATGGAATCCATATGCAGTAAACTCGGAGGAAAAATTATATTTGTAAGGTATATATAATAAGAATAAGATAATAATTATTTTTAAAATAATAATTTTAATTTTATATTTAGGCTAATTACTAATTAGTTATAGAATTTTTTTTACACATGCGGAATATCATAATTAAACTCAAATAGCTTGAAGTTACCCTTCAAGTGCAAAACTTCACACACATGCTTTGTTCCACTATCTCAAGGTCTGAATCGGTGTAAGCTTAGTAACTAGTGTGTGTTTTGTGCAGTTGTAATAATAAGGGCAGGGGTGTGAACTCGGGGTTTGTTGATGACAATGGTCATGAAGAAAATGGATGGAGGCATGCGATGACTTGTTGACAATTTTAATTTTGAAAAAAAAAAAAAAACTTTCAAGGTATATATTCTATAAGCAATTAATATATCTATTTGAATAATAATAATAATATTTTAATATAATTAAATATTTTTAGTAGATTGTTAATGTCTATTTTTTTTATATTTATTTCAATATATTTTTAACTCTAAATAAATCAAGGTCATCAATATTAAAATGCTTACTAAATCTTAAAAACCTTTCATAACTAAAACAATACCTTTTTATTTGTTACCATCTAAAGTTTTAAATTTTGCATATTCAAATATATATAAAAAAAAAGCTAAAAAATAGTTTCATATCGTTAATATGGTTGAAATAAAGTCTCACTAAGAAATAGTTAGATCAACATACCTAGGGATGGTAACGGGGCGAGACGGCTACTGGTTTCATGATACTCGTCCTCGTCTCCGCGAGCTAAACTCATTCCCGTCCCCATACCCGTACCCATCGGGTATATAATTTTCATCTTCATCCCCGTCCCTGTCGGGTATCCAGTATACCCGTACCCGTACCCATCAAAATTTTTATTTTTTATTTTAAATATAATATTTTTAAATTACTTTTTTAATTATATTTTATAATTATAATTAAATTATTTCTCTATATCATATTATAATAAATAATCACACATAAAAAAAATACTAAAATTCTTTAATATAATTAAATTGAAAGTAGGTATTAAATTAAAATGGGAACGGGAACAGGTACGGGTACGGGGTGGATAAGTACATACCTGTACCCGTACCCGTACCCGATTTAATATATCGAGTTTTACCCGTACTCGTACTCGTACCCGGTCAAATCAGGTATTTCCGTCAAAGTTGGGACGGGTTCGAGTATTATCCGCGAGTACAAGTATATTTGCCATCTTTTGATATACTATTAGCAAATAATATTTAGTACATATACATTTAAAAAAATCTACGGCGAAGCTAAGTTTTTTCTTTCATTTAGGAATAATAACAATAGTAATCAGTAAAAATAAAGTGAAACCTGAATGATTTAGGGAAGTTATGAAAAATTAACAACTAGTTGAGAACCCAACATATTATTAGGCTTAAAGTAAATTTTAAATTTTGTTCTTACCGAAAATCTGCTGTAGAGCTGATCTGCCAGGTAAGATCGATGAGCCTTCTTTAGGGGTACGCTGGTGCTCCAAGATGGGGGTGGTACCTGCAAAAGAGACTCCGATGCTAAAGTTAGTGTTTGTAGGAGTATGAATCTCGTATAAGTAATGCACGTACCTTAGTGTGAATTAGGGTTGCTTTGGGCCTTGGGCCTGAGATAAGATGTAATGTGATTAGATAACGGACCTCGTCTGGGGCGAGATCCTCGGGAATCGGTTATGATTCACTTAAATGCCGAGCTGATGCCATGCGGTGCGCGTCCGAGGTCGGTTTGCATTGTGGTGTCGAGCTCGGAGCTCGGTTACACGGTACGGATAGTACACTAGCCACCCGAGCTCTGAAGACCGTAGGTCGAGGAGTTAAGACCGAGCTCGCTGGGGGGAGGTGACCTCTCGTGTACGTTTGCTCGTTGTGGTGCCATGTGTCGCGACTGTTCATTTCCCGGGAACCCGCAAGTGGCACGTTTATGGGAGATGATGGTTATGTAATGATGGTCGTGCAATTAATTGTGTTGGCAGGCGTGTCCCCTGACCGACACGTGGCGTGGCGGTGTTGAAATGTGGGAAGGAGCCCCTTTTCTTTTTCTTTCCCGCGTCCCTTCCCATTCACTCCACTTTCTTCTACCTTTTAGCTTCTTGGGTACGGTAGCCCTCTGTGCCTTCTCGTTCCTGGCTTTCTTGCTTTCGTCTCCGTTTTTATAGTCTTTCTTCAAGTCTTCTTGATGGTTGGTGGTTGTGGCGTCGGTTCTTCTGCGCCTGCCAGGGGCAAAGCGCGCGGCAAGGCGGTGGCTACCGGGAGGGGTGCCGCCGAGAGAAAAGACCTGCCCCCGCCTAAGGACCTGGAGCCGGGTGTTCCTGGTTACGACTGGGTCAAGCGCGAGATGGGGGGCATCCAAAGTGTGTTCAGGTCGCGCCTGGAGGTTGATGCGGTTTGGGAGACGCACCGGATTTGCGACCCCACCCTTTCCCGGAAGATTCAGCTTGAGCCCTGTCCGGTTGGTGAGGGTGTGTTCATGGGGAAGTCAACCGATCCCCCCCACTTTTATGTTTATCAGAGTTTCTTCAGGGACCTAGGCGTTTGTCTTCCCTTCACTCAGTTTGAGTGTGATTTCTTGAACTACATCAACGCGGCCCCTTGCCAGCTACATCCCAATAGCTGGGGTTTTTTGAGGGCGTTTCAGGTCCTGTGTGCGGTTCTAGGGCTGGAGTTGTCCCTTCGCGTATTCCTTCATTTCTACTAGCTGAAGCTGGGCGTCCCGCCGTATGGAATTCTTTCTTTGAACGGGAGTAAAGAAGGGGGTTTATTCACTCTTTACTCCCAATCTTATTAGAATTTCAAGTCCGAGTTTTTCCGGGTAGTCCTTGTGGACATCGACCCTTTGGAGGATGGGGATTTCTACTTTGGTGGACTACCGAAGTTCTCCTTTTACTGATGTCCTAAACCGTCTAGGTTTCACGGGGTGAACCCTTTGGAGTTGAGGGCTTCGGAGGCTGGCGTCGTTAAGAATCTCTCGGCCTTGCCTCGCCCGTTGGATTGCAGGTCGATCATGTCGCTTGCGAATTCGGCGCACAGGGAGAGGGTCCTGGAGGGTGAGTATTTTGTATCTTGGTATTTTGTTGAGGTTTGTGTAATTCTTTTTTGCTTATGTGCCTTATTTTCTGTCTGTAGGCCTTATAGGAAAAGACTTGTGGCTTGAGCTGAAGCCCTACTTTAACGTGACCGAGCTCGGGGTTTCCGAGCCTCCGGAGGAGGAGGTTTCCCCTCTGAAAATCAACCGAAAACGAAAGAGGGGTGGGAGAGAGGTCGGGGGGACCTCTGCCCCTCATGAGATAGGGGAGGTGGCCTCCGAGGTTATTGAAACTGGGGAGGTGGACCTTGCTGGGATTCCGCCGCCGGAGGGGGTCGATCGTGTGGCTGCCGAAGAGGTGGCATCGGCTGTTGAGCCAGTCGTCCAACCCGGCAAGGCGCCGGCTCAAGCTATTGAGCGGGTTG